AATGGGAACTTCCCCCCCCCCCCGCCCTAACCCACCCAGCCCTCCCCCAATGCAGAGGACATATTGTTTAACTGAAGGGAGCGGCAGTATTCTTGTGTCCAAGTATCAGCTCTAACTTTAACTGTAACCTTAATTACGGAGTGGAAGGATGAGTGCGGATGCCGGTGGGTTGAAACAGTCTGGTTCGGCCGCCAATAATAACCCTGACAACCAGATAGGACCGGAAATAGGAACATGCATTTCGTAAACGACGCAGATGGTACAAATACCCGACTAGATCAGGCATGATAACAGCCGTAACAAGTTCAGTACAAGTACAGGACACATACGGAGTCTATTAGATGGAGCGTAGGCGGTTCATCGAACCAAAATCCATCAGTACTTCGTCACCTGTCACTGTCCGTAGCCACAGATCGGATATTTACTCCGATTAACCTAACCCTTAAATGTGAACTTAATCTAAATGTCACTGGAGGTTAATGCGACGTTGCCCCTATGTGCTCCGGCAGTATTAAAGAAAAAAATAGATTTCACACCATCGACGAGCCAGAACCGGGCCAATGCAGCTGCCATTCACGCACCGGAAGTAGGCCCAAATCGGCCTGCTGGGCTTGCCATTACCCTCCTTAATTATGCCCCAACGGCGTGATCATGACAAAGATGGTTCGCTGCAGCAAATTCTAGTAAATAAACCCACATCGATTGTTAGTAAGGTGCGCCGAGCTTCGGAGTGCGCTGAGGAGTGACATCGGAGTAATGCCCAACAATTGGCTGCCTTATAAGCAGAATGAAAGACCAAGGGGACTGGAATAGTCATTTCTGCCTCATAAGCTGTCATCAGGCAGCCATGCCCAGCCTCAGGTTTTGCAACAAATGAGACTTGTTGGTTAGAAGTCCAACAACCTAGCTGTCGAGCAATGGGCCTGTTGTCCTGTTGACAGCGATCGGCTAATAAGCCAGAAATGGCCATCCCAGTTTCCTTTGCCTCTCTCAGTAGTGTTATTCTGTCTGTATCACTGGCCGCTGGCAGGTTCGAGAGCAAGCCCCAAGACACCACAGCACGAATATGTCCCGTAACGCGATTGGCGGTTACTTTCTGTTAAACGGGTGATACCAAAGTAGGGTTGGCCAGGAAAAGAATTTTAATCGATGGGTATACAGGAGGAAAATGCGAGCTAAAGCTAGGAAAGGGGAGATGCGATAGGACAGGACAAATGTCAGACAGAAAAAAAAGACAGACCTTCACCGGGAATGGTTTCTTTGAGTTCTGACGTTTGCGGTGATTGTATCGTCTACCGAACTTCGCCAACAGAAAATATAGGCTTACGAATCTCGTTACATGCTGCTCTTCGCCGTGTGCGTAGCCTGACACTTCGAGTTAGTGAGTATTTACTCCCCCCACTCATTTAACAGGTGGCCTTGCGGTGGCCCTGTGTCCTACTCCCAACTCACTGGAACTTTATGGAGTGAAACCGACAAAGACAAGGGAAACAGGACTGGCATATTAGCCGTTATCAGCCAGTTATACCCAAGTGTGGATCACACGAGATTCGAACCCGGTCTCTCTTGTCTTTGTCGGTTCCACTACAACATATATTCCAGGTCGCTATGCAACTGCCTGCGAGGGCTCTAGATTGAGCTCCAAGGCAAACCGGGACTAACATGTTCCTTAATCAGATCTGTGAACATCCTACTATTATCATATTTCCGAACGCAACGGACAAAAACAACGAGCCCGTATTTGAATGGTAGTGTAACACTCCATGATCAAAGGGTCGCGCGCGCTCGAATCTCGGGTTATTCACACTTAGTATGGGGTATGGCTGGCTGCTGCTAAGCCAGAAATGTCAATTTAAGTCTCCCCTGCCTTTGTCGCTTCCACTCCATCATATACTAAAAGTCGCTGCGCGACTGCCTGTGAGGGCTCTAGACTGAGCTCCAAGGCACAAAGGGCTAAGTACGTTCCCTAAACAGATCGATGAGCAGCCCACATGGTTCCGCTGATCGGGCAGTCTCCGCCCTGCCTTGTACACCCACCTGCAACGCGAACACCCCGATCACTCTCGGCACAAGCAGAACGAACAAGCAGACGCTGATGCATCAGCGA